TGCAAAAACAATAAAAGTTACATGAATGTAATGTAGAGTGAGAAAATGTATGTCTTAAATAGTTCTAAAAAAAAGTCCGTGACACCATATATCTATTTTAATGTGTAAGCCATTACCACTAAAATAGTGAATCAAAACTAAAATATTATTTGATATCTATTTCCAAAATTCTCATTTTGTATTAAAAAAATATTTTTTATCAAAACAAATACTTTAATCGCTTTTGATATTTAAAGACGATAAACTTTGCCTTTTACACTATGTCATTTCGACAAATATTTAAAAAGTTACAACGATGACAAAGTGATAGCGCGGTGTACTATGTAGGAATAGACTCCGGGAATACTAAGAGAAGAATTTAATTTAGGTGTTTATAAACGTGGATAAAACCTAAGCGAAAAAGAAAAAAAAGGGCTACTCGAAATATCTGATCCTAAACGAAGTATTTACAATAAAACTGTGATACAGTTCCTTCTTATTAAATGATGAAAAATAAATTATCATAATAGGTATTTATGATTGTTGAATTTTAATGAAAATCTCAGAATTATACTGTTTTTAATTTTTTTTAACGATATTACTTAATGTTACAAAGAAGGTTTGTAATGACAAATAACCCATAACCCAATAAATCAATATTTTAGACCACCGCAAGGTACTTAATAATTCCCGCGATATTAATTCCCTTGCTGAAGTAACAAGACTGCGGTATATACAGTCTTAAAATACTAACTAACTAAAAAGTGTGAAATAAAAAAGGTAAATTTAAAAAATCAAAAAACCCGACTGCTTAATTATACTTCAAATAAAAACTGAAAAGAATAAAACAAGTCTAGTAGACTATAATTCTGTTAATAAGGAACAATATTAAGGAACAATTATTGAAAAATATTACGTATTCTTGAATATCTAATTAAGTTAAGTTATCTGTAGATATTTTAATAATAATAAATATTTCCAACACACACCAATTAGCCTAGTCCCAAAGTAAGCAACTGTAAGGCTTGTGTTATGGGGTGCTAGGGAAACGGATAGAATACATATATAAGTATATTTATAAAGAAATACATATTAAACATCCATGACTGGAGTACAAATGTTCGTATTCATCACACAAACATCTGCCCCCACCGTGATCAGTGTTTCCAACCCTTACCAAAATTTACCCCTAAGTATTTCATAATTCCCCTAAAATCCCCTAAATATACAATTTTTAAGTACCTACTTATTACCCAAATTTTTTCGTTGCTCATAAATTAAAACGTTACTTAATTAGTTACAGTAAATTATTTTATTGAATAAATTAAATACATTTTCCGAAAGGACAATGAATCGAAAATGAGCTGACAGACTGTTAAATCTTATTTAGCTGTTTTTTTAACTTTAGTCCATACAACCTTACGAAACAACCCGCCACACGGTCAGTTCAGTCGTTTCATATCATGGTGCGTACCATTCTACGCACAAAACTGAAAGAAAACACACGCTTTGTTTTTCGATTTAATTGCAAGTTTTGATAAAAGCCCCTAAAAGAACCCCCAAAAAACTCTAGCCCCTAAAAAAGTCCGTTTTAACACTTCTAGCCCCTAAATCTGGGGGCAAAACCCCTAAGTTGGGAACCATGACCGTGATTCGAACCCGGGGCCTCTCGAGTGGGCGACACCATGAAACCCGGTGTACAAACCACTCGGCCACGGAGGTCGTCAATAGATTATCGTCATGAAATGTATGAATAAATTCAAAGGTTTTCTTTTGCTTTCCTCCTTCTCCTTGTGTCGTGCGCCTCATTGCTGAGGGTCGTGACCTCCACGAATTATTTTGTGGACGATCGCTTTCCACTTGTTGGGGTCATCGGCAGTGTGGAGTGCATCGCGGTCTCCAGTTTTGGTATTGTCGCGGATCTGGTCTGTCCAGCGCATGGGGCTTCTTCCTCTTGGTCGCCTTCCCTGTACTTTTCCTGTCACCAGGAGCACTTCCAGGTTATCGCTTTTCTTCCTTGCTATGTGACCAAAGAATTCGGGGATCCTACGTAAACAGAACGTGGATAACCCACTTCTTTAAGAATTGACTCATTTGTGTGCGGTGGGCTGTCCATGGAACTCGTAACATTTTTTTTCTTTAGTAACTTTTAAATCAAGTTGATATCGGTCAAAAGTTCATGTTGCTTAGACTTCTCTAGAGAATAGTTAGGTATGTACAGGTTGCGGCACGTAACCCTAGCGCTGAGCAAAACGTGGAGGGGATAGCTGCGCATGGGTATGACTGGAGAGCCAATCGGCGCAACGTACGCCCGTAATTTTTACATCTGCGCAATAACGGTCAGCGCTAAAGTTTCATGCAGCGTCTTATACTGTGGTATTTTATTTTAAAATTTTAGCTGAAGATCTGAAAGTGAACAGTGCAACGGATAGTCCTTTTTCTTCTTTCCAGGTAATTTTTCACTGAAATGAATGTTTTCATTGACCCGTTTTATAAGATTTCCTCGTTGGTGATTCTTTGAGTCCAAAATACCATTAGGTATGCTTCTGGCGTGTCGATGTCAGGGACGAAGGATTGTTTGACCCACAATAATAGTTGTCAAATGCTTCTATTCATTTAAGTAAGATCAACGACCTCACAAAATATTATAAAGAAACTTTGGAGTTGGTATATTAATAACGTAACGCACGACTGAGTTTTGACGTTTTACGATTTTAGAATACATAATTTCACCCACAGCGTCCGGAATACGCAAAATAAAGATAATTATGAAGGTACGTGTCATTAGTGAGTGATAGATAAAATGCGCTGGAAATATAAATTTAAATTAATAATGATGATTTACCATAATGTAACTTAATTCTAATGGTAATAATTACTTAATGTTCTGTCTGTAGTGCAAACTAACCATGGCTCGTTGCTGAACGCATTTTCCTCTCTTATACTTCGGGAAAAAATATTTTTGATATCCTTTTTTTTCAGTTTCTTTTTACGCATTTGTTATCAATGCTTCCCCTTTTTGGAAAATATATTAACGTACGTACGTACAGAGTACAAGGAATTTATTTATTGGTATTTGATATTTTTGGTATCAGACGAGCCATACGCTTGTTTGCCAGCCTTTTAACATAAAAATATATTCTTAACTTTTTTTGAATGGACTTAAATCACGTATCTTTTAATTTACAACATTGCTTAAATATATAGGTACATTTAGATAAAAAACAATTAAAAACCTACTTGATATTTAAAATTTACAGTAAAATAACTATAACCTACTTAAATAATATATAATTTACAAAATAAAAAATATGTCACCCTCAGCGCCGCCGTCAGGAACGGTGCCCAATAGGCTGGCTGACTAGCATTGCCACGTTGCATGGCAAGGCTGATCCGTTGACCAAGATAGCTGCCAGCCTTTTGATCACCGGCCACCTCAGTGAGCCTCTTTGACAGTTCCTTAAAAAGGGAACTAGCGCTTGGACCCCATGTCCCCATAGTCTCAACCCCAAACGGCACAAATATGTAGTTTTGATTGAGAGTTGAATATTTGCGCCTCTTGGAGCTCTCGGCATAGGCCGCCGCTGCTCCTGCAGCTAGGAGCAAGCGTATCCATGCAAGTTGCGTTCCACACAAGAAGACGACCCTGCTTCCAAGGAATGAGTGTCACAGAACTCATTGATGCAGGCGTGGCGGGAGTCTCGCGCTCATTTGGCATGAGAGCTCACAAATTCTTTACTTATATCTAAAGTAAATTTGAGTGAAATTAACATTTGGAGTCGGTGCAGTGGATGAGTGGTTGCTTTTCTATAAAAAGATCCGAGTTATTGTACCATTTTGCTGCTTAGGTTTTGGCATGGCACCGACACCAAATGTAAAATAATTTGACTATAAATGTACTTTCAATAGTAACTTTCTAGTGGTTTTGTTTTTATGAAGTCGGTTTTTATTTTTGTTAGTTATTAAACTTTTTACCTTCAATATTAAAGATACATCCGTCGTCTTCTTGCCATAATATCAGCAGGCATTGCAAGATACGATGCATGATTAGAGTATTTTCTTTTAAATTATAATATCTCTCAAGATTTATGAAGTCTGTTTACCCACATTTTTTGCTTTTCATTTCTATTGTAAAATAGGTATCTATAGGTATATAGGTATTCTAGTTACTGATTTGCAATACAAAAAAGCTTTGCACATGCGTGTCGTAATACTAACGAAAACTATTTTTCGCCGTTTGTTTTTTTCTATATTTTAATACTTATTTTGCTATTCGGGACGGAGACGAATACGAAAAATCAGAGCTCATTAAAATCGGCCCAGCCGTTCTTGGGTTATGAGTGTTTTAACTAAGACGCATTTGTTTTATAATGTCGCTGGCAATTTGTAAGATTTCGCATTTTACAAACGGCGTCGTCCGTTTGAAAACGCTTGTTATTATACCGTCAAAATCGAATTACATTTTTGATTTAGAAGTTACTTTTTATTATTATGTAACTAGTTTAAATATATACATGTATATTTTTTTATTTTAATTTTATAACTTGTTTAAATTTTAGTGTAAATTTCTCGTCCAAGTAAATAATGAACAAAAATGAACGTAAAATAAAAACTGCTGGGTTGCGAACTAAATAATTCTTATGGAATCAAACAGCATGTTGGGAGCGATGGGAGATCTATTAAACAAAAAGAGAATCACTCAATTCGAATCATAAATCTTTAAGTAATCGGGCAATATAAACAAAGTATGTATCGTGAAAATTAATTATATCGTCCAAGGTAACAAAAATGCTTATAAAATAAAAATCACTGGGCGAAACTAAATTTAAATTTTTTGCGACCGAATGGCAGTTATTTCGCATCGGACACAAAAATAATCACGTAAATCAAATCAGAAATCGCAGAGTATTCGTTGTACATAGGTTCATAATATAAAAATAAACATACCGACCGAATTGTAAGCCTTCTTCTGTTTGATTTCGGATAATACCTTCGAGTCATAAATTTATGATCGTCCTTACCTAAAATCACAACAGCATACTGCCTCACTAAAGGTCCGTCAAAGAAATTAAAAATCATTTTCTATCGTTCAATGAACTCAATAAATATATATGAAATTTTAATTTAGAACACTTAATTTAATATCGAAAAGAAGATCGATCATTTATATTTAAAAAACATGACAACACAGTTCTATTACTTTGTCAACACTGGCAGCTGACTGCTTTGCTGGCCAGTTGCTCATTCAATGAAAAAGTTTGGTTCAAAACGATTTTGCTGTTCAAAATATAAGTATAATTCTATTTTCAATTCTATTACTTATAGAATAAAGTTTGATTCATTTTCGTTTACTGCAAAATATCGACAAGCAAGTGCTAGGTAGAAATTATCGAAATGAACTGTACTTCGGCTTAAATGTTATATGCAAATACAAGGTTCTGCGATTGCTAAGATATTATATAACACCATAGAACAAAATACGCAATGAACTTCGATTCAACAAAACCTACGGATGTGTTCGCTTGTGATAACGGTGTTCAATCACGGTAGTGAAAACCTGTTTCATTGTGAAATTCGCGAGTAGAGTGGCCACATTTTAGTTTAATTTTCTATAGAATTGTTTCCACATAATAATATCATGTTTAATTTGCACACTATAATAACATACCTACCTATGTACTATTAAACTAATATTTTAGCATTTTGACGGTGATGGAGTCGTCACATCGAAAAACAAAACATATGTTACCTATATACTTACAATGATTGCATTATTAATATTACAATTAATTTCTTATTTAAAAAAATCGCCCTTTATTGATAATTTTAAAGAAAACTAATCAAGAAGGATCGTAGGCATAAAAATATTACTAAAAATTTATGAATACCGCGATTAAGTACGAATTTTCTCTTCATTTCATCAATTTAACAATACTTTAATATTGAACTCACTGTGCCCGCGTCACATTTGTACCATTTAATAAGTATGATACTTATTCAGAGTGTGTAACTTTTCGTTTTCTTCCATCATATTTATGTCAATTTGTCACTTTTTTTTAGCTTTGAAAAGGAAAGCGAAATAGTTAATGTTAGATAAGTTTAGGATAGGGCAAAACGGATTTCCCGCTGAAATTGAAATGCCTGTCTGGGTTGCATAAATAATACTACCTTTTGCTAGAATTGTGTTTCTGATGAGGACTGCACGCATTACGCCCTAGGAGTCAAGTAGAGCTGCCGGCTGCCAGATATAGAAGTCAAACTATTTGGATATCATTTTAAAATATCAAGAGAAACTACATTAATTAAAATTGTGTCGTAATGTGTTGTGACTAGGGATGCAAAGTCTTTTGAAATATCGATATTATATCGATATTTATATCGAAGTCAGGAAAATATCGATATCCGATATATCGACCATTTTAACTCGATATTGGTGCCAATTCTGACGTGATTCTCTAAACTTAAAACTAAATTTAACATCATTCTCTCCTTTTCATTCTGTTTAAAGAATGACAAGGATATACTACTGTCAAATTTAAGTTTAGGTTTAGAGAATCATGCTAGAATCGACACGATTATCGATATATCGTTATTTTTTTCTTTTTTTTTATTGACATTAGAATACGGGCTGAGTGTGACGCATTCATATGTTTGTTGGTGAATTTCTCGCAAAATGCATTGAGCCAGCTTTTTCTTTAAACACGCTTGATGAAATCGCGCCAAGCAGGATTTTTTTTTGGCTCGCACTGTTTATGTTTCAGCCACGACAGGAAACCAAAAAATTAAAATTATTATCCTGATCAGATCACTCACATTTGTTAGCACGAATGCGCCAACCCGCATATGTGGGACGACATTTGCGAATGCCTTCACTAAGTTTTCACTACATTCGTGCTTTTCCAAGCTATGTCGGTTTTTTAGCGCACATACGCAAATTGCTTAGTCTCCCACACATCAGGGGCGTGCCCATGGCTTCAGAATAGGGTAAGCCCAAAGCTTCAAAAATTACTATACCTATCTTACTTTCTTGACTTGGCGAGCTTAAAAATTTACGATTTGTATAAGATTCTTAATTTTATTTTGTGTTATATTACAATGATATTTAATTTCAATTAATCAGTAGTTGACAATTATCTAGAAAGAGAGGCAAGGATTTTATTTAAGTGCATGAGTTACCATTAGGTATACGATTATACCTATATACGTTGGTGTCGATTCTGGCATGATTATCTAAACTTAAAACTAAATTTAACATCAGTCTCTCCTTGTCATTCTGTATAGAGAATGACAAGGATACACTGTTGTCAAATTTAATTTTAGGTTGAGAGAATCATGCCAGAATCCACACCAGTTTAGTATATTTCTTGGTGTTCAAGATTTTTTAAATACATCTATAAGCTCTTGCGATTTCAAAGCAATAGTTATTTCGATATTATTCAATTTAGATAGTCATAGCAGGTAAATTAATTGATATTATTGTGTTTAAATTTAGTCTACGAAATAGCGATATTTTGGAATTTCCGATATCGATAATATCGATATCAGTGAATTTTAAATATCGATATTTTGGTCTCGATATTATCGATATTCAGATATATCTTTGCAACCCTACTTGTGACGCATCAGAGAGCTATCTGTTTCATACATTTAGTATGATTAGAGTGAGAACGGTACGATACACCGCGACGCACAAGTATAGTTCTAACTGTACTAAATGTATTAAATCGATCGCGTATCGTCACGTCAGATAAGTATATTTCCGCCTTTATTCGAATTCAATACAATGATGTCGATTCTGGCATAATTCTCTAAAGCTAAACTTAAATTTGACAACAGTGCATCCCTGTCATTCTCTATACAGAATGAAAAGGAGAGACTGATGTTAAATTTAGTTTTAAGTTTAGAGAATCACGCCAGAATTGACACCATTGTCAGTCTAAGGACGGTACAATCGGTGCTGTTCCCGACCGATAGAGTATAACTACTCTAACGTAATTTTAATCTTATCCTGCATAAGGTAACCCTTATGCACGATAAGATTAAAATTGTAATGCCGCATGCCTATATATAAAGATAAAGTTTGATTGGACTGGACAAGATACTTTTTAGGCTTCCGTACCTTATAAAGAAAAATCGGAACCTTGTAGGATCACTTTGTTGTCCGTCTGTCTGTCAAGAACCGTCATTTCGGGAACGCGTTGAGGTATAGAGTTGAAACTTAATTAATATACTCCAGTCTACTGTCAATTGAAGGTGTAAAAAAAAACGCAAAAAAAGATACGGCCGTTTATGTTACGCAGTACGGAACTTTTGGTGGGCGAGTCCGACTCGCACTTGTCCGGTTTTTCCCTTCAAGTTTCGCCTCTGTTGTTTTTACGAAACAGAGGCGCTCTTAATTATTACAAATTAATTCCATTGAGAATTGAGAAAGCTGCGACTGTAGATAAGATACCTTACTCAACAGATATGATTTTATCGAACAACAAATTTTGATATAAACTGCATTCATCAGCATCAGCCTACACTGCTGGGGCACAGGTCTTCCCTATGGAAGGAATAGGGACATTGGACCACGACCACACAGTCGATGCCAACGACTGCAGATGCAGCCGAGACCTTCTGAAGCAAGGAGGAATTCGTGATAGATGATTATATATTTTGGTCACCCAGCCGATGACCGACCACTGCGAAAGTTGCTTAACTTCAACGATTACAGCGGAACGCGCTAACCACCTGCGCCATCGACCTTCTCACGCACACGCTTAATCTAAATCAAATTAACATTTTGTATAATTACTATATCAGTAATCTACTCTTTCGTAATCTTGTTTCAGATTGGCCTTCCGTCAAAGACGGCAGGTTAATCTGAAACATTTCAAATTTCAGTATATAGGGTTCCGTATAGTCCTAGATACCGCCGCTGAAATGTGTATTTAATAAAACTTTATTTAAATTAATGATTAGTAATATACAGGGTGTCACAAAAGAAAGTACGCATTTGTTTTGCTTATTGCGTGAACGCAACTATTCCGAGCTCGAGATAGTAAATTTTTATGGTCACCCATCTAATGACCGACCATTGTGAAAGTTCCTTAACTTCAACGATCGCAGCCGAACGCGCTAGCCACTTGCGCCATCGAGCTCCTCTCTTAAACTGCATTTGCAGGCATTTCTGCTTTATTAGACATACCTCAAGATAGAGGGAAGATATAGATCTGCTAAAATATATACGCAATATTATGTTGGCCAGTACTACGCACTTGGGCGATTATTTCGTAAAATCCCTTTGAAAACCCCAAGCCCTTAAAGACACAGACACAAGCTTCGCTTGTTGGGGCGGTGTCTTCACGTGGTAGGAGTCTGACATAACCCCAGAGTCGGCTGTAAATTACCACGAGGATTTCAAAACCATGCGTAGGCCTCGTATCCACCTACAAGAAAACTCGCTGAAGTTTTATGTGAGTTTCTTGCAATATCGTTTAATCTTATAGTAAGTACGTAAGTAAATTCCTGTAATTTATTCATGTACCTAATTACTGCCGCGCGAGAGACTCAGGGGCGTATTTTACAATCAGGTGCCCAAGGCCGTATTTAAGATTTGCATCCCATCCCCCCTTAGAATTAGTGAATCAAATAAAAATATGGTGCAGTTACGACGACTTTCGCCCAGACAGCTCTTGCAGCCGCCCCTCACAGTCTGCTCTCGGAGATTCGCGGTAGGGTTATTATTATTATTTCAGATTTTTGGAACTATGCAGTCCCAGTGGAACTGTTAGGCACTGCGACCTAAAATATCTATAATATTGTGTCTCGCTACCAAGTTTTACGTGCTCACATTTTTGTAGGTTTTTAATTGTAACGCAAATAAAACTATGATCTTTTCACATCACTGGCATGGGTTAATCTTGAGGAATATGTGGAATATACTTATATAACACTTTTAGATTAAATAATGAGAAAAGAGATACAAAATTGTAGTCATTTCGGTTGAAACGTCCACGACGTCACCATTTTTAGCGGAACGTTTACATCAAACCATAGAGAAAGGTAAATATACCATAAGGCATCAAACTGATCTA